GAAAATCTCTAAATTCATTAAAACATCACTTTAAAAAAAAACATTTTTCATGAGCAATGTAGATATTAGCTTCAGATCTCTTAAAACTTCTTCTCTGAAAGCTTTTCTATATCTTGTTTTATAAATACGATTATTAGAGTATTGCTCTATATCTGGTACAGTACGGATTATTCTTGTGGCTAGTGCTATAGATAAAAGTGCGAACGTTTTGTTTTGGTTTTTTTGATAGGTATAAGCAGGCCGCAGGGGCTGGTAACTCAAATCGAAAAACATGAGGCTGGTAATTTAGTACCACTCCAATTAACGGGATGGCGCTCGTATCGAAATGTCATGTCAGTTGTCGGCTCGTCAAAACTTCAAACTTTGAGAAATTAAAATGGCTATTGGTTATTGTATTTGAAGGTGTATTGAATTTTGATTTATTTTTCAACACCTTCCAATTTTAAGCATGTTTTCAAACGATGGAAAGATGGATTTCAGCAACAAACAATAAAGCACTCCCAGATATTGGTAGTGATGCAATTTATACCACATTAAATATGCAGTCGTCATATTAAGGATATCCAAATAATTTGTAATAAGTGTCTTAAGAAAAATGCACCATCACTGTTTGGTAAGTAATATTTACAAACTTGTTTTTGATTCAGTGTTAAAATAATTGGTTTGTTATTTAAATTTCTTTTTGTTTTCAGTTTTTAAATGATCATTGTTGTAAAGAAAATGTTGGCCCTCCAAAATACCCTGTCGATCGATGAAATATTTGAGCATCAGCTATCAATATCAAAAATTGATTCAATGCCATTGACATCAAACAAGAAAACACCCTAAAATCGTCAAGGGTCCAAACGTGTGTAAGTTTAATTTATACTCAAAAGTTAAATTCATTTATCAGGGTGACCACATAATGAATAAAAATTTGATAACTACAAGTGCTGTATAAATGAATCACGAAAACAATTATCGGATGAAGAAATGCTCCTTACCCTAACTAGTCGACTCAATAACCATATGGCAAATTTTATCGACACTCAAATTTGCCTCGATAGTAAAAAAGGATAAAGCTTCACTTCAATTTTTTCAAACTTATTTGCCACTCCACGTCGCAAAACTTTAATAAAGATCTTGAGCACTTATATATACTGATTTTGTTACAGAAAACATTTTTGATAGGTTTGTTTTATAACTAATTAATTATTTAAATGGTGTAAATGCATATTTGTTTAAGTATTTCCATGTTTAAATAGACAAATTATATGATGCGGCGATAATTTACTGAAATAAAAAACAAAATAATAAATTGCATTTGATTTCAAGTTTGAAATTAATGCAACAATATAATGAAGTAAAATCAAATAAAGATATAAATTGGCAAAATATTTGACTGGTTTCAAATCACAAAACAGTCAATATGGTTGTTTTATGATTTGAAACTAGTCAAATATTTTTCCAATTTTTTTGCTTTATTTGATTTTCTTCATTACATTTTTGCGCTACTACAAAGTTAAATTTCAAAAAGCCCGCTCGTGGCAGCCATATTGAATTTTAGTACCACTCCAATTTGATAGATGCAGCACATCGACTCAGAATTTTACCATTGAGTTTCCCATCTATTCACATTAGTAATCTATGGGTATAAGTATTAAATTAATTTTCATTCTGAATAGATCAACATTTCGGTAAGTTTATTCTGTTATTATGATTAGTGGGGAGGGCGACCCTTCGGGACCGCCCACAAGTGCTTCTGCCACTCTCGTAGAAAATAAAATATTAAAAACGCAAAATATTTATAATTTAACCAATAGATGTAGATCTACGGATTCAGGCCCTTATTTGGTTTATATGGAACACATTGATAAGAATTTGGCAAGACTTTTTTCTATGAAAGTAGGGAATTTTTTGCAAGAATGTCCCTCCTATAAGAATGATATATTAAATATTAAATCTATAGGCTTAAAACGCGTAAAGGTGGAATTTAAATCATTTGATATTGCTAACTCATTAGTTGACCATGAGATTATGAAAAAAAAAAACAATTTAGTTGCCTTTATTCCAAAGCTTTACACACAGAAAAAGGGTATCATCCGGATGGTTGATACTTTTTTCAGTGAAGAGTTTTTGAAAAAAGAAATTATTTCTGAAATACCGATAGTTGAAGTCAAATGTATGAAAAGAAAAGCTACGGATCCCGAACCTAAACAAGTATCTTTTGTCGATAGACAAATTGTAATTGTCACATTTTTGGGCAATACAATTCCGGATACACTTAAAATTAATTTAGCAAATCGGTCCTAGAGGCAATTATTGGTTCGCCATTTAAAAACTATAAAAATGGTTTCATCTTAAAAATTAAAAAAATACTCTTTCAACTGTACTAAACAAATAAAAAAATAACTCTAGTTTGGACCAAAGCGCATGCCGGTGTAATTGGAAACAAAAGAGCAGATTATGAAGCTAAGGAAGCTGTAAAGAATGGAAATATCTTAAATTACTTTGTCCCTAGTTTTGACTTATTAGCTTTGTGTAAAAAGGGTCTTCGAAAAAGTTGGGAAGAGCACTACAAAAACGCTATCCCGAATTTAAAAAATCATTCCTTCCATATACATCCAACATTACCCAATTATATTGCCCACATTACAAATTTCGACTCACATCAATAATTTCTAGACTGAAATTAAACCAAGGTCGGTCCCAGCCCACCTCTATAAAATCGGTGTAATTAATTCCCCTTACTGTTCATGTGATAGTGAAAAAATTGCAGATTTAAATCGTTTATTTTTTGAATGTGAAAATAATAAACAGTTTACAGAAAAGTTTTTAAAGATCTTATTAATAACAGTTTCCATTTGCCATTGTCTTGTAGCCTCAATCCAAAAATATCTTAGAATTAATTTTAAATTTTATTAGGTCTGCCGATATAAAAATATAAAATTAAAAAAAAACTCAAATCTAAAACTAGTATGTCGCAAATAATAATATTATTATTTATTATTATTATTATTATTTTTTTGTGTGTGTGTCATCGACTTCAACTGCTAAGGTTATTTCGCCTCGTGTTCTGTGTAGGCTTTGTTACTGTTTCCCAGCGCCACTTTAGGAACAGCACTGTTAATTGGAACCCAACAGTGAATGGTCGAGTGGGGAATCCTACCAAGGCATCGGAATTAATTTTAAATAATTAAATCAAATAAAAAAATCCCGGCCAACGGTGGGATTCGAACCTGGGACCCTTGGATCCACAGGCAGAGGCTCTATAACTGAGCCACCCACCCCCTCTTATTATTATTATTATTATTATTATTATTATTATTATTATTATTATTATTATTTTTATTATTATTATTATTATTATTATTATTATTATTATTATTATTATTATTATTATTATTATTATTATTATTATTATTATTATTATTATTATTATTATTATTATTATTATTATTATTATTATTATTATTATTATTATTATTATTAATATTATTATTATTATTATTATTATTATTATTATTATTATTATTATTATTATTATTATTATTATTATTATTATTATTATTATTATTATTATTATTATTATTATTATTATTATTATTATTATTATTATTATTATTATTATTATTATTATTATTATTATTATTATTATTATTATTATTATTATTATTATTATTATTATTATTATTATTATTATTATTATTATTATTATTATTATTATTATTATTATTATTATTATTATTATTATTATTATTATTATTATTATTATTATTATTATTATTATTATTATTATTATTATTATTATTATTATTATTATTATTATTATTACCATTTGTAGTACTCCTTATCGCACTTCACGGAACCGCCAATCTTGGCATCTTCATCGTGAAGGCAACGAGTATCTTCAGTTTCCAGTTCTTTTTGCTTCTTCCTTCTTTTTTAAAATTTCTTTTAACATTCTGTGTATTGTTTGCCAGTTTTCCTTTTTCTGTATCATTTTGTCGATTAAATTCTCTGGTGTTATATTTCCCACACAAATATCGTGTGCTTAGTCGTATCATCCATATCACAGTACACGCACCTATCCGATTCGGTCTTTTTGAATCGTTTTGAGTATGTCCTGAACATTCCGTGTCCTGTGATAGCCTGTGTGATGTAATAGTCCACGTTTCGATGTCCGCATTTCATCCATTTCTCCAGGTCTGGAATCAGACGTTTTGTCCACTGCCCTTTATCTCTGTTATTATTCCACCTTTGTTGCCACTTTTCCAGTGTTCTTTCCTTTATATATATTGTTGTCTCGTTTTTCCCCAATTCATGCACCTCCTTTCTTTCTTCTACCATCAGATCTATTGGTGCTATCCCAGTAATGACCTGCAATGCCACTGTAGACACTGTTTTGAAAGCAGCCGCAACCCCAATCAGCGCCTTGCGTTGCGTCCTTTCCAATATCATTCGGTTCTTTTTTATTTTGAGTGCATCTGCACATATGGGTGCTCTCCGTATAGTAGCACTGAATGCGCTACTCCACATAGGACCGCTCTCTTGCTACTATTTAGTCCTCCGATCCGAGGCATCAAGCGTGGTAGTTTACCTATTCTATTTTCTGTTTTCTGGGCTGCTTTTAAAACATGCTCTCCAAACTTACCACGTTTATCAAAGAATACTCCAAGGTATTTAATGTGTCCTTTTGGCAGGATTTCTACATTCTCGATTTGGAATTTGATTTCCCTTCCCTTCCTTTTTTGCGTGATAATCACCGCCTCTGTTTTCTCTGGTGCCAAAGTCAGCCCATTTTCGCTCATCCACCTGCTAATTCTTTTTAAGTTTTCGTTTGTGTTTCTTATCAGTTCGCTTACTTCGTCCGCTGATACCACTAGTGCTAGGTCGTCTGCAAACCCAATACTTTTTGCTCTCCCTGTTAACTTAATTTCTCTTAAAGTTCTTTTATTTTATTGTACACTTGTTCCAAGTCGTTTACCCCAGCCATGTCTATTTCCATAGGGAGGAGATACACAGCACTACTAATCTCCTCAGGTCTGAGTTTGCTAGTTTGTGTTCTAGCTGTTTGTATCAGGTAATCAAGCTGTCCTTCATTATCGCTAATTAATTTTTCTAGACCTTCTATTAACATAAGTTTTTGAATTATTCTGTTATTCTCAGTATTTTTTGGGTCAACTAGCATTCAGTAATTACCTTGTCGCTCTAGTCCTGTGTTTTGGTTTGAACCTTCTATCTCAGTAATCTTGTACACTTCTTGTGGCCATTTTTCATCCAGTATTTCCTCAAGGGGATTAAAATCCCCGTTTTCCGCTAGAGCTGTTTTTATCTTTTCATTTGTTTCATGCCTTTTGTCTTCATATTCTTTCTTAATGTCCTCTTCATCCACTTGCACTTCTATAGATTTCATCTCTTTAATCGCGGTATTTTTTACTTTGGCCTTTTTATCGTCTTGTTTTTCCACATCTTTCATATCTCTGTTTACGTCTTTAGCTTGTCTTTGGGTTCATCTGCAATATTTCCCAGTATTTTTGTATGGTTATCCTTTTTTGTTGTTTTAAATAATTGTACATAACTAATATCCATATAGTTCCCACGAGAAGGGTCGATTTATTTTTGTTCGGTGAGGCGCCGTACCTCACTAAGGCCTTGCTTTCGCCTACCTCCCCCGTGCCCTCGCCATGACCGGGGGGGACCGTTTGCGGCCGCGTCCGTGGGCCATGCATCTCTTGGTACGGTCTATGCCTTAGATTACGGATTTTTTGCCGCTGATTTTCTCCATCGGGACTCTTCTGTCTGGGTTACCATACCATAGCCGACAGGTCCCCGTTACTTAATGGCGCCGGGATCTCGCCATTCGCCCCCCCTTTCTGGGTTGGACTTGTTGGTTTTTTCATATATGTAACAGGGCCTGTTGTTTTTCTACTGGCATTTGCTGGTATCGCTTAGTCGACATCGGCGATCCCACCAGTGCCCCACCAACCATTTTGAACTGTTCCTTAGCTTCACTCCACCTCTCCGTCCTATCAGCTACCCGATTCTGATTGACGCTTTCGGGACGTGACGTCCCGAGTTTACAATTTGAGCGATTCTAATTCCAACTTACGTTTCAGATGTCTCGAGTATAGCTGTCAGATTCACTCGGGACCTAAAGAGGTAGCGTAACGTGAGTGAAATTAGTAAAAGTATGGTTAAGAAATGCTTTATTTTGATATTTCTGTGTTGAAATTAAAAAAATGAATTTTTAAAATAATCCAGAACATTGGTCTACAATTTTAAATATAATGTGTGAACACAATTTGCAAGTAGCATATTTTTAATTATTGCTCATTGTATTTTTTTTTGTAGGAGTTATGTTTTATTTTAACCACATTTTAAAAAAATTAGTAAACTCAAAAACAATATTTTTTCCCAATATTACAGAAGAAAACCAAATACAGCATACCTTAATTTATTTAGGAAATATAATTTATTATTTGTATAATTTTTAATTATTATTATTATTATTATTTTTCTTTCTTCTCCGATTTCGTTGTTTCTCGGGTATATTTCGTCTTCTTCCAAGAAACTGCCTGTTTCCTCAGGTAGAGACTCTTCTGTTACAACTATGTTACTACTTTTCTTAATATATGTGCTGTTCCTAATATTGTTGTTTTTTGCAGCTGGTATGTTGTTCTATGGTCAGCGTTACCAGGTATAGTTTTAAGAATATTTGTAAAGTTTTTATGGATTGTTCCTGTTGCTCCTATGATAACCGGTAATATTGTAGTCTTTAAGCCCCACATCCTACTTAATTATATTTGTAGATCTCTATATTTCAGTCTCTTTTCTGCTTCCATTTGGGTAACTGTATTGTCCGATGGTATTGCGACATCTATAATATAGCAGGCTTTTTGGCCTAGATCTTTGATTATTATATCTGGCTTATTGGCATTAATTGTTCTATCTGTTTGTACTTGGGTGTCCCAGATTATTGTTATGTCATCTTTAGTTTCGACGCTTTTAGGAATTTGTTTCCGTAATTATTTTGTAGTGCTGGCATATATTATAGTGCAAGCTTGTACATACTTTATTGTGGCGGGTGATGTATTCTTTGCTGGCTAATATTGGACACCCTGTCATTATATGCCTTACGGTTTCGTCATATTGCTTACAGATGCGACATTTTGGATCCACATCTACTTTATGTATTCTTTTTTTTATGTAGTTTGTAGTTATCGCTTGATCTTGGGCTGCGGTTATTAGTGATTCGGTTTCTCCTTTGATGGATCCGTGCTTTAACCAGCTAAATGTAAGTTCTTTGTTAATATTTTCATTTTTCATTTCTCTTGCATATTGCCCGTGCATTGTTTTGTTTGTGTATTGCTCTTCTCTCTTTTGTGTAATTTTTTGTTTAATCTGTTTTTTCAAGAGTTTAACATTTTTTGTTACTGTCTTTTCATTATTTATATTTATATCCTCTTCGGTGTTTTCTCGGATCAGTTTTCTCGGATCAGTTTTCTCCCACATTTAAGAATTGATTTTCCCGTTACTAGCCCTTATTATTATTATTATTATTATTATTATTATTATTATTAATATTATTATTATTATTATTATTATTATTATTATTATTATTATTATTATTATAATAATAATATTATTATTATTATTATTATTATTATTATTATTATTATTATTATTATTATTATTATTATGTCCCACAATAGCTGTTTAAAAATGCTAAAGAACACCATTATCATAGATAGCAAGACTTCAAATTGTTGTAATATGGACCCAGTTGAAGAACCTATTATTAGTTTGGAAAATTCATCAGAAAATGAATCTGTTGATAAGATCAAAATTAAATATTTAGAGCAAATTATTAAACAGAACGATTTAGTAATTGAAAATCAAAAGATTGCAATATGTGCTCTTCAGGAACAAATAAATTATCTAAAATGTTCGAATAGTTTTGATCCCAAAAGTCAAATTCCTGCTGTTACAACCCTTCAACCCCCTGCTAATAATCCAAACTCAAATAGTAAAAATATGGCTAAAATATCTACTCATGCAGTATCACTAGCTGTACACAACGCTCAAGGTCACGCCATATGCGATAGATATGTGAATCAGCACACAAACTCGCTACAATCTGAAGCTGATAATGTCAACAATTATTATACTTCTGGCAGAAGTGGAAGGAGAAACAGAAATTTGATCACAGGTAGTGGAATTACGACCAACTGTTCTTTGAAAGCAGCTATCCGTACCGTTTACAAACATCTACACGTTACCAATATGGATCCGGCGACCTCTGAACAAGAATTGCTAACGTACTTAAAAGGTGTACCGTCAATCAGGGTGGAAAAACTGAATTCACGCTTTCCAGATGATTACGCTTCCTTTAAAGTATCGGCACCTATCAATGATCATCATCAACTATTAGTACCAGAAATATGGCCAGAAAAAGTCATGATAAATGAATTTGCTACGTCACCAAGGTTTCGCCAACAGACAAATAATATGAACAATAATTTTCGTCCCTAATATATTAAATAGAAAAAACTATAAGAATCCAGAGAACATTCACCATTGTAATATTAAAGATTTTCTACTTCAAGAAAATTTTCCAGTTGTGGAGTTAAATGTAACAAATAAAAATAAAAATATGTTCAATATGCTAAAATCTAATTTATCAAATAATGTTTGTTCCGTGTTTCACATCAATGTCCGGAGTGTGTCAAATAAATTAGTAGAAATAAATTTATTGTTGGATCAGCTTAAATTTGATATTTTTTGTATATCTGAGCACTGGCTCACAAATGATACTTTGCCATTAATTAAAATTAACAATTTTCAGTTAATATCTTCTTACTGTCGAAATCTAAAAGCCCATGGAGGTGTGGCTATATATTCTAAAACAAATATTAAATTGAAAAATATTGACTGCACTGAGTTCTGTGTGCCGCAACACGCAGAATTTTGTGCAGCAGAATTTGTGGACAATAATTCCATTTTAATTACCACATATAGGTCTTCTAGTCATGGAAACATAGAAATCTATAAGGAAAAGCTTTTAAATATTTTATATAATCTTTCTAAAAAATATAAATATATAAGTATAGTCGGTGACATAAATCTGGACCTTGATGCAAACACCGAGAGCTCTAAAGATACGCGAAATATACTGTCCATGTTTGGAATGAAACATCACATTCATGAACCCACGAGAATAACACCTAACTCCAGATCCTGCCTCGATAATGTAATCACAAATTATAGTATAAGTGATATAAATGTAGGAGTTCATGAACCAGACATTTCTGATCACTCTGGGATTTATATGATTTTAAATACATTTAAAAGTTCTTCTAATATTGAATATAACAAAAATAGATTAATAAATGATATACGAATAAATCAATTTGCAAACAACTTGAAAGAAATCATATGGAAGGATCAGGATCTTAGAATTAAGGATGCAAATAATACTTGCAACAAAATCATTGATATATTATGCAGCGAAGTGGAACTTTGTTTTCCTGTTAAAACTTTTCGTAATAGGGTTAGAGAGGTTGAGTGGTTCAACGAGGAGCTGCGGAAACTTCGTAAGCAAGTTTTTGCAAATAGAACCCTGTTTAGACAAACAAATTTGTTTGATGATTGGAGACAGTACATCGATTCCCAACGTTATTACAGAAGCCAAATTAGATGTGCAAAACGTAAAGCATACACAAATTTGATATATAATTCGGAAAATCGTAGCAAAACAGTATGGAAACTAGTAAACGCCGAAAGGCAAACTAAAGGTAAAGTCAATAGAATACCTGATGTGACACCGGATGAATTAAATTCGTTTTTTGCTACTATAGCAGATAAAATATCGCTTACAATCGAAAATTCAAATACAAATCCGAAAGAATTTTTAAATAAAATGAATAAACCGTCTTACTCGTTTTTCATAAGCGCTATTATTAATTCAGATGTTCGACAAGCAATCTTGAAATTAAAAAATTCTAAGTGTCTTGATTATTACGGTCTTAGTAGTTCCATGATAAAGCCTGCCGTGGATGTGCTGGTTGAACCACTCAATCTACTATACAATAAATGCATTGATGAAGGTACTTGGCCTGATGGGTTAAAAATAAGTAAAGTCATCCCCATTTATAAAAAAGGTGACACTGAAAGTCCGGATAATTACAGACCCATCGCTATAGTACCTATCATAGGCAAGGTTTTTGAAATTATCATCAAAGAAAAACTGATTAGTTATTTTGAAAATAAAAAATTGTTATCATCTCCTCAATTTGGTTTCAGAAAACATAGGTCTACTTTTACAGCGGTTGCAGCTCTAATTGAGGGTGCAGTTGAGGGCTTTGATGAGGGCACAAACACATATGCAATAATGTGTGACCTCACTAAGGCTTTCGACTGTGTCAACAGTGAGCTGTTATTAATGAAACTCGAATTCTATGGAATAAGAGGAAAGGA